AAATGTGAAAGTGGTCAGCGTGAGAAACTGTTGGAATCTATATGAGTTTTCAGAGGAACGATCAGTCATCCTTTAGATGTAAATCGCACAGAAATGACACGTTTGAAAACAGCCAGTCTGACGTATACGCCGTGCAGTTTTTCGGAGCTATATGGGGCAGGATGTGGTCAGCCGTTTGCTACGAAGCTGCCTCCCTCCCACCTGCAAAGATGTGTCTTTCTGCTAGAACGCCACGTCTGACATCAGCGGGGATTCTTCGGAGAGAAAAAAAAACAAGAGGTTTTCTGTTTTGACGAAAAAGAAGCTTTAAAAGTGAAATGAAACCCTTCTGAAAACGAAGGTAAAATTTCTCCACGGCAGGTGGTGAGAAAAGCAAGCAGTGGGGGGCCGCGATGACCTCTGGTCAGAGCTGGACATTCACCCCCTAGTTTCCAGAAGAAACTTAAAACAACTCAGTTGTTCATCTGTGATGCATTCAGGCGATTGAAAAAAAAAAAAAGTCTGTGGGCTGCGAACGCTTTGATTATTTATCGTCCAGATAGTGTGCCAGTATTAAAAGATACAGCTCTCGCAGCTGTATAAACACCCCCGAAAAGCCTGGTTTACATAACTGGGAAGGATATGACCTTATTTCCACTAATTATGAGAGACTGCGGTGTCAGTAAACTGTTTTGACACATATCATGTCCAGGGAAACAGCCACTTTCAGCTAAATATATGGTACAGATGGAGAGTTTGAAAAAAAAGAAGAGGCATGAACGTTAAGGGGATTGAGTTTAGGGAAAAAATGGCAGATTGAGGGGGTAATGAAGGATAGAGAAGAAGAGAACACAAACAGATCGGAATAATGAGCGGGGAGAGGGAAAGAAGAGGGGAGATAGGATGGGAGAAACAGAGGGTGAGGCTGAGAGCACTGTAATAATGTTTGGCCTTGGTCTGCCAGCGGGGTCCTTCCCCTTAAGAAGCCAAGAGGAATGCAAAGAATGCTGCATGAGAAGAAAAAAAAAGGAAGGAGCGCGGGAGAGGGGGGAAGAAACGGAGGAGGAGGAAAGAAAAATAGAGCAGAGAGGAGACGAGGAAAGATCGGAGGACTGGATGAGAACAGTGTGAGGAGAGGGTTCCACCAAAGGAGGAAAAGACTTATTATGCTTGGTGGGCTGAGTAAACACGAGAACAAAAGAGGATAAAAATAATAAGGCTGGAAAATATTTGGAAGGGGAAAAAAAAAAAAGCTGGAGCTTTGCGCGTTCTTATTTTTGTGCATTTCCATATGCATGCGCCTGTGCGTGTGAAGGAGAGAGAGAGAGAGAGAGAGAGAGAGAGAGAGCATCAGGGTGTGGTTAGTTGCACTTCTGAATACACTCAGAGTTTTTCGGCGTTCTGGTTGCCGGTAATCTCGGCGCCGGAAACTTCACACCTGCAGGAAGAGAAGACGCTCTTCTGTCATCTCTCTCGGTAGAGGCCTGTCTCTATTGGGTCGGTCGGTTGGAAATCATGAGGCAGAGCCAGATTGAAACTTTTTTTGGAGGCTGGGGGGTTATTTAAAGTAACAAATACGAGGAGTCCTGCTCCTGAGCAAGATTACATTCTCAGCATCCGTGAGACCACAAAGCAAAAAGTCAAACTGCATGTTTCCACATTTCATCTAAGACTGAAAGATATCTTAATATATTTCTAATCTCAGAAACTGAATGTAGAAGTTCCATTATACTCTGACAACATTATTGTGATCCAGAGAAGGGCAGAACACAATGATGAGGCGTTGTTACTCTGTTTTTTTTAACCCCAAGAAATTTGAACAGTGTCAAATCATATACTAACGAGGGAATAAAAAGTAGATAAATATTACATTCGAAAAGAAGTTTGCAGGGCATTCTGAATGAATAACTATCATGTAATATTACTTCTTGTAAGTATAAGATGAAATAAGGTCGAGGTTTTTCCTTTTTGTAATGAACTCGAATGGATTTACATGCTTTAATGTCTAAAAACATATTTTTTTCTCATTTTAGATCTTAATGCAGCACTCTGGGCAGCTGCTGTCTCTTTAAGGGCCAAATGATCAGTTTAGCTCCTGAAGTTTCCTGAGGGATGAAACCATCTGAAGCAAAAGTGGCAGCCATAACAAGAGCTGATCGATTTACTAAGGAAAGTGGCTTCATCTTCCATGTATTTCTCAGAGAACAGAAAACATCAGGTCTTCATTATTATAAGAACGAGGTACCTCTGCCCCATAATTCCATTATTTTTGGCGGCCACCTCTTAAACCTTAAGCCTTGGTTTGATTAATTTAGCTTGTGGTCAAACTCGTATTCATGATGATCAACAAGAACATTTTCTTTACTAAAAAAAAACTTGATGATAAGGCCATCCTATCACAAATAAGATTTCATGATGTTATATCAGAACGGCTTTTTGTGGGAAAATGAAAACCATAGTCCACTCGCTGTGGCCTATCATCACAGTTTAGTTTAAGCGTGATGACTGTGGTCTGATTCAGGCTGTGGGACATTTTTCTTTCCCTAAACTCATTCATTCCTCCAGAAATCTCTCCTTAACCTTACGATGTTGTCCAGCAAGCTCATTTACAACTTCAAAAAGAGATAATAGATTCCCCCCTTGTGACCACTACTATATACCGGGATTTTAAAGATGTGAAAACATGTTTGGTGTATACAAGAAGAGGCATATGAGGAACAAAGTGTGAGAGAAGAATAAGGACAAAATTAAACAAAACCAAGCATGAACTGAGATTTCTAACGAATTCTGTTTCAGTGAACGGAAACAAAAATGTTCAAGTTTTTCAATGAAGCTCTTCGGTCCGTGATGAGAAGTGCTTAATTAGCTCTTTGTATCTTTGGGGCAAAACCCCTCGGCACATTTAAAACCCTGCAGAGTAAAGCACAAATGCAAGCAAAAGCAGGATTCCTACGCAGACTGAAGCGCTCACACGCATGTTCGGGCTGTTTCCACGGTGATTAGCCACACCGAGGGCCTCGGCGACATGTGCCGTCCACAGCAGCGCGGCCGATCGCTGACAGACGTTTTCCACAACAGAGAAACTGTGTCATGTGTGCAGTCATCGCTGAACAGCGCTGACAGGTAAAAAAAAAACTGACACTTTGTCGCGTACGGCTACCAGTCATTTCAGTTTCCGAGGTCAGAACTCAGACTCGAGTCCATTTTGACGCACAATCGTGAAGGACAGTGGAAATGTACGCGGAGAAACTTCATGTGGAGGAGGAGATCAATTACTAAAACAAAATTCCTGCAGTAAATATCAATGCAACTATCTATTTTGAGCTGATTGTGTCTGAATCAAGCCTTCTTTGGACCTCTTTGATCCGGTTATACTGGGTCCAGGTCATCCCCAGTGATCGCACAAGCAGATTGTGTAACGATCCTGTACACCTAGAGGATATTTGGAGTTTTTAGTTGGTCAAAACAGAGAAAGACATCAAAGATACCGCGAGAAACTGTCAAAGAGCTGACACTATATATACAATACATAAAAAAACGCACACACAAACTCTCAAAAGTTGAATCAAATCAAAACTCACCCTCATAACACCCACCATTCTGAACAACAACAAGCCCGAGAGGCGTGAGCGTACGAGTGGGAAACACCCAAACGGGCCAAAAATAGCTCCTTCACCATCTCTCGCTTTCAATCCCTCGCTCTCTCTGTCGTTTTTCTCACTGTGTGTCTCTCGCTTGTGTCGCGATAAAACCGATGGCTGGAAAAAAAACAACACGTTAATGTTCCCAGACTGAAAACATCCCCCATGAATGTGAGAATATCAGACTGACTGGATGATTGGGTGTGCGGAAAAAATAATAACGATTTTTTTTTTAGACTGTTGCAGAAGGGGGAAAATTGACAGTTAATCTTTTTTTTTTTCATTTGTTTCACACATTGAGTATGTTGTTGGTCTAAAGAATACAAGTGAAAAATGAACAGAAGCGAGGCCTTTTCTGTTCGTGTGTAAATGAGGATAATTTAAGTTGATTTCTGCTATCTATTGTGTGTAAATCTTCAGTATCTTTATTTCATTGTGCTGTCAAACAAAGGATTTTTGCTTTGCTCCAAAATGTGGCTGCAGCTTTTCCTCCCAGACTGTTTGGGTTCAGGATGCCCAGTTTGGCTTAAAGTGAATCAGCGTGTGTAAATAAAGTCACACGGACACACAAGTTGCCTGTTTACTGGACAATTTTAGTAACGTGTCATCCTGTAAGGAGACCGTTAAACACGTGCAATTGCAGCCTTTGTTTTGTAAGCAGAATACGTTGGCAAAACCAGTTAGAGCTCAGTAAAAGTGGGGATTTTTTTTTATTTTTTAAAGGGATTGAATGTCATAATCTGGAGGAAAGTTGGTGTTCTATTTACACACACTCTGTTGAGATGTTTCAGATTGCATCATTTTTGCACTCACTTTCTCAGGTCATTCTCATTTCAGTTCATTTGTGTTGCAACACGCTCAAAGTTTTTGACAACACGATCCGCTTTTGATGCGCCTGATGTGTGTTACTGTCTGATGCAAAAATCCAGAGTGTCTCAGGCATCTGATATCCCACAAAAAGAAGATGAGAAGGACCCATAGTGGACCTTCAGCCACTTGCCCTGCCATCAGACCCTAGATGGGGCCGATATTTAGACGACTATATCCACAAAATCTGGATTTGCATAAATAAAATCAATGTGGGAACCACAGAGCTCAGGGCTTAAAAAGAGGATGGTGAAGGCAACATTTTTCCACCACTGGTAACCTGAGCACTCGGGGTCCTGACCTCCAAACTTGGAGAGTGGCTCAA